GAAAGAGACAGGCGCTCCCTTTACAGGCGACGGAAAAGAACAGCAGAGCGGCTAAAAGAGGTCAATATATCTGAAATGCGTAGGGAGTCACTGGTCAGAGAAATAGCAAACATCGAACTTAAGCTAAAAGAATCCTTTAGGAGTCAGGAATCGCGGGAAGAACTGAAAGCCATAAATAAAATCGAAAGAAACCCAAAGTATTTCTTCTCCTATGCCAAATCAAAGTCGAGAACAACGTCCAGTATTGGGCCCCTACTTAAACAAGATGGGTCCTACACAGATGACAGCAAGGAAATGAGTGAGCTACTCAAGTCCCAATATGACTCAGTTTTTAGCAAGCCGCTAACCAGACAGAGTCGAAGATCAAAATGAATTTTTTATGAGAGAGCCACAGAATTTGGTTAACACAAGCCTATCTGATGTTATCCTGACGCCAAATGACTTCGAACAGGCGATAAATGACATGCCCATGCACTCTGCCCCAGGGCCAGACTCATGGAACTCCGTGTTCATCAAGAACTGCAAGAAGCCCCTATCACGAGCCTTTAACATCCTATGGAGAGGGAGCATAGACATGGGGGTCGTCCCACAGTTACTAAAACCAACAGACATAGCCCCACCCCACAAAGGGGGCAGTAAAGCAACAGCAAAGAACTACAGACCGATAACACTAACATCCCATATCATAAAAATCTTTGAAAGGGTCCTAAGAAGCAAGATCACCACCCATCTAGAAACCCAGGGCAACATGGGTTAGAACAGGTCGCTCCTGTCTGTCTCAACTATTGGATCACTATGACAAGGTCTTAGATGAACTAGAAGACAAAAAGAATGCAGATGTAATATATACAGACTTTGCAAAAGCCTTCGACAAGTGTGGCATGGCGTAATAGCGCACAAAATGCGTGCTAAAGGAATAACAGGAAAAGTCGGTCGATGGATCTATAATTTCCTCACTAACAGAACACAGAGAGTAGTAGTCAACAGAGTAAAGTCCGAGGCAGCTACGGTGAAAAGCTCTGTTCCACAAGGCACAGTACTCGCTCCCATCTTGTTCCTCATCCTCATATCTGACATAGACAAGGATGTCAGCTACAGCACCGTGTCTTCCTTTGCAGATGACACCCGAATCTGTATGACAGTGTCTTCCATTGCAGACACTGCAAGGCTCCAGGCAGACATCATCCAAATCTTTCAGTGGGCTGCAGAAAACAATATGAAGTTCAACGATGAGAAAGTTCAATTACTCAGATATGGTAAACACGAGGAAATTAAATCTTCATCAGAGTACAAAACAAATTCTGGCCACAAAATAGAGCAAAACACCAACATCAAAGACCTGGGAGTGATCATGTCGGAGGATCTCACCTTCAAGGACCATAAAGTTGTATCAATCGCATCTGCTAGAAAAATGACAGGATGGATAATGAGAACCTTCAAAACTAATGGTGCCAAGCCCATGATGACACTCTTCAGGTCACTTGTTGTATCTTGGCTGGAATATTGCTGCACACTAACAGTAGCTTTCAAGGCAGGTGAAATTGCTGACCTAGAAAATGTACAGAAAACCTTCACGGTGCGCATAACGGAGATAAAACACCTCAATTACTGGGAGCGCTTGAGGTTCCTAAACCTGTATTCCCTGGAACGCAGGCGGGAGAGATACATGATTATATACACCTGGAAAATCCTAGAGGGACTAGTACCGAACTTGCACACAAAAATCACTCACTACGAAAGCAAAAGACTTGGCAGACGATGCAACATCCCCCCAATGAAAAGCAGGGGTGTCACTAGCACGTTAAGAGACCATACAAGAAGTGTCAGTTGCCCGAGACTGTTCAACTGCCTCCCAGCATACATAAGGGGGATTACCAACAGACCTTTGGCAGTCTTCAAGCTGGCACTGGACAAGCACCTAAAGTCAGTTTTCCCGACCAGCCGGGCTGTGGCTCGTACGTTGGTTTGTGTGTAGCCAGCATTAACAGCCTGGTTGATCAAGCTCTGATCCACCAGGAGGCCTGGTCACAGACCGGGCCGTGGGGCGTTGACCCCTGGAACTCTCTCCAGGTAAACTCCAGTGGATATATTGGTTGAAAGCTTCACTTTTGACCAATAATAAACTTAGTCATTTCAGCTTTGATTACCCTATTATACTTTTAGATAATCACCATGTCTATTAAATATTGTACGTATCATGGAGAATGATTTCTTAAGCAGTGTGTAACCTTTGTCTCTTTCCAGCTTGGAATGACAGCTAGGGTCATCTTTCCAACCAAAAGAAAAAATGTTGAAGGAGACGGGGCTGAAGTCCTGGAGCCACTTTTTTATTTTACCTACCTGATTACTTGCAGGGAAAGGGGGCAACTACCCCTCATATTCGGAGTGGGAAGGGAAATGCGTTTTCCCGTGTCTGGACTGCTATTCAAAGGCTTTTTGATCTGTGAAGAACGAGTTCCCTTGGGTTTGGCACTAACACCTTTTGACCCTCCCCCCACATCATCGCAATGGGGTGCAAATTTTTCAAAGGGGCAGTGTCAAAACCCCCACCCGGGTCCCCCGTTTAACTTAAACATATTAGGGTTTTTAATTCAAATGTCATTTTTCCTTTCATTTTTTTAATTTTTTTTCTAAATTAGGATACGCATTCATGTTTCAATGTTTTATCTTTGATTTTCTAAATAATAAAGTATTTATTTTGGAATTTTTTTTTTTTCTATTTTTTAATTTTCCTGAGAAGGAGCCCGCCCTTGGTAATACTGTCAGGAAATTGTTACAGGGTGGGGTAAGCCTTCACAAGTGGCCCACCTTGCCAGGATCAACTCGACTGAATCGAGATTCAAAAATCCATCTCGAATTACCATTGGAACTTAACGCGCTACCACAGACGGGTTTTTCAAACCAGCCCCGAGTAACATTCTTTTATGGTAGGACTACAGTACAGGTATTTAAAAGATTTTTGGGGATTTTTTATAGTCTCAATTTATTGAAAAACAAGTCAAGGGAGGATTATACTAGTTTAAATTTTTTCACCCCCTTTACTTGAGGGTTGAAAAAATTTGGGGGGGAATAGACTTTTTAGGGGGGCCCCAGATTTTTCCAAATGACAAGTTGTTTCATTGAGCTCTTATTATATCAAAGGGAAAATGTTTTTAGGACACTTGATTTTTTTTGGTGAGGAAAATTGGGCGGTCAAGGGACCCCATTTTTACTTTTCTGTTTGGTCAGGCCAGCATAGAAACCTTCGTTTTCTTTCATACATAGTTTAATTTAAACAAAAGGGGTTTGAAAACCCCCCAATTTTTTTACAGTTTTAGCGGGGGAGGAATTGAAACCCCCCTTTTCTTTGTATATCCGTTTAATTTTCCCCTGGTAGTTTAAGTTATTCTTGCAAGTATGGAGGAATACCAGTTTTGGATGAACACTGGGAGTAAGTTAGGAATAATGGGGAAAATTTAGAAGCTTTCATTAGCTCTAAGATCCAGGAAAGAGAAAGAAAGGAGAAAGAGAACCTTGAGAGGAGAAAAAGAGAGAGAATTGAATTGAAAGAGAAAGGGTAAGACAGAAAAAGAGAGGAGAAAATGGACGTGAATAGACTGATCATGAGGAAAAGAGAGCTAAAGTACATGAGGACAAGCTAAATACATGAGGAACAAGTTAAATTAAGAGAACTTGTGGAAAGAGCAAAAGATAGAGAAGTTGAGGAAAGAGCTAGAGAACATGAGTTAAGAGAAAGAGAAAAAGATTGCGAGGTAAAAGAAATCTCACCTTGAATTAGAAAATAAAAAGTTAACTTTTACTCAACAACAATTAGAGGAAGGAGTAATTGAACATCATGCAGCTACTGCACATATTCCAACACCTAATTTACCTCCCTTCACAGAGGGGGAAGACATTACTTCATACATTATCAGGTTTGAAAATACCGCTACCCTCTGTGAATGGCCTGCTGACACCTGGGCTACCAGGTTAGGTATGTTATTTTCCGGTTAGAGCTTTGAATATCTATGCAACTTTGTCGCAGGATGCCATATGTAATTATAACCTACTTAAGAAGGCAATCCTTAAAGCATACCAAAAACACACAAATTCTTATAGGAAAATTTTCAGGTATGCCACCTTACAGCATGGCCAAAACTTTCAGCAGTTACAGGTAACACTCGTTTGTTCGATTTTTGGATAGAGAGCTCAGGAATCGATCACAGTTATGAATCTCTTAGAGACTTCATGGTTGCTGACCAGTTCCTGACAGCTCTTCCCCACCATATACGAACATTCATTAGAGAACATAACCTGATTAAAGCTGAGGAAGTTGCTGAGGCCACTGACTTGTATGCTGAGGCTCACAATTCCTATAAAGACCTAAAGGATCGACCCTAAAGGCAAGGGTTCACAGATCTTAAGAAATAAAAGCCTCTAGAGGAAAGTAAACTGACTCTTTTATTCCGGTTGTCATTATGTGTGTTAAAGGGGC